AAGTCAAACCCTTCTTGTTGTCTATATCCTTTGACAACCAACCTAACCTTATATTTATCAATGGATCCATCAGATTTCAATTTCTTTTTGAAGATCCATTTATACCCTAAAGGCTTGTTCCTAGGATATAAATCAACTAACTCCTAAATATGGTTTTGCATTATAGAGTCTATCTTGTTATTGATAGTTTCTTTCTAATGAGGTGCTTTCGGTATAGATATCGCCTCGTCAAAAGTTTTTGGTTATTTTCCACCATATAGGTTAGAAAATCATGGCCAAACATCGTAGATATCCTATACCTTTTTCTAAGCCTTGGTTCTTCGTCATTTGAAGTACAACTTGTAGTATCATAAGTCCTTTTATTCGATATTGCATTTTCCTTGTCTTTACATAGAAAGACATTCTTGAAGAATGACGCATTTCTTGATTTTATTATGGTTCTCTCATGTACATCTTGAACTTCAGATTTATGTAAAAGGAAACAATATACACTACTTTTATTTGCGTATCCAATAAATATGCAATCAATCGTTTTGTGACCAATCTTCACTTGTCTAGGTTTAGGTATTTCAACTTTAAATGAAGCATCTCCACACTCTCAAATGTTTGTAGGAAGGAGGATGACATTTTCATAACTCATAAGGGGTTTCTTCCATTTTCTTGAGGGATATCTTGTTAAAAATACTATTTTCCGTTAAAATAACTTCCCGTACAAGTTCTGATGTAAACACATCGTTCATTATTTCTTAAGAGTTTTGATTTTGCGTTTAGCAACACTATTCAATTGAGGAGAATAAGGTGCCCTTGTTTGATGAATAATTTCACGTTCTGAGCAAAAAATTTCAAATGGTGCCCTGTATTCGCCACCTCTATCAGTACAAATATTCTTTATTCATTTACCAAGTTGGGTCTCAACTTTCCACCTTATAAAAAAAAAATTTAAATGCATCTAAGGTCTCGTCTTTATTTCTTAGTAAAAGGACATAATAATACTTTGAACAATCATCAATAAAAGTTATAAATATTTCTTACTACATCTAATTAGAACGAATTTCAAATCACATATGTAATAGCTATGTATTAATTCTAAAGGTCTGGTGTTCCTTTGTGCCGAGTGAAATGGTATTTTAGCCAACTTTGCTTTGACACATACTTCACATTTATAATTATGATCAATCTTAAGCGTTGGAATTAACTTCGATTCATAAGTTTGTGCCAAGATTTGTAATTTACATGTTCTAATCAATTATGCTACATACAAGA